GGGGGCGCGCCGAGAGGAGGGTCCGCGGGGTCGCAGGCTGGGGGCGCCGCGCCCCGTCGCCCATGCCGCCGCCGCCGCGCTTCCCGTGGAGGCGGGCGAGGCGAGGGCTGCGGCCGCCCCCGGCCCCGCGCGCCCGCCCTCCCTCCCTCCTCGTCACTCCTTGGGCCCCGGCCCAGATCAACTTCCTCGCTCTTTTCAAAAGTGCCGCGGCCGGGCCTCTTTGTGCCGCCGCGGGCCCCCGCGCCCCGCAAGGCCCCCCCGGAGTCCCCTCGAGCGGGGAAGGCCCCGAGCCCCGCCCACCGACCGCCTCCGGGCGCCGCTGCACTGGGGATTGGGGGCTCAAGGAGGGCTCTTCCAGAGCAATCGTTCGCGCGGTGGGGGCCGCCTGGTGGCTGGGGGCTCTCGATTTTCGCCCTGGACCTTTTCCTCACCCATCTGCGGGGTAGAGGGACTGGAAAAGTTAGGATCCCCGGGTTCCGGCCTCAGCCCCTCCCGTCCTCCGGACTGCCTGGGACTGTCCCCGTTTTAGCACCGAAAGTCCCACATCCCTCGGTCCGGGGCAGACCCAGACGGTTGGTCAGGCCAGCTCTGCCACTCTGGGTGAGTGACTTTGGGCGGCCACTCCATGTCTCCAAGCCTCGGTTTTCTGCAGGAGAACACTGGGCCCTGAGCGCTCCCAACTTCTGTGACTTTGTTCCTGGAGAGGCCTCTGGTATAAACAGTGACATCTGAGGGAAACGGGCCTCAGGCAAAGGAGTGGTGACTCTCTCGTCCGAGGCCCTCCTCCGGGAGCGGGAGTGTGGGGAACATTCCACAGTGTCCCGGACTCCCTGAGGTTGCATCCTGTGAGGAAAGACAACAATTTAACAAGTAATGGTGCTGAGGCGTGATGGCCATGGTGGCAGGACGGGGCAGGGGGAGACGGACCACACAGTGGGGACCACCTGGCCTGGCCTCTTTCCATTGCTACATCAGCCCCTTTCCCACATCTCCGCACCTCCACGCCCACCCCCATTTGGCCCTTGGAGTAAAGTAGGTGAGGCCAAAGGGGCAGAGAAACTTTCTCCTAAGCCTGGGAGCTGAGAAGGGGCCAAGGACAGCCACCCCTGGCCCCCGCCCCATTCACAAATCCCAGCCAGTCAGAGAGGGAGATGCTCAGCTCTCTCTAATCTCCTCCCCTTCCCAATGGCAAGTTTCAGTTCACAGAGTGCATTCTTTCTGTGATCTCAGCAGAACCTCACCATGGCCTTGAGAGGGGGAGCCAGGAACCTACTGCCCATTTTACAGGTGAAGAGACTGAGGTTCAGAGAGGATTTTGCCTACCTGGTAGTAGTCACGAGGTACTCCTGGGGCTTTCAATCTGGATTCCAAGTCTGCCACATGAGCCTCAGTCTCCCAGACTGTGGCATGGATCAGTAGGCTGCTTTGTAAACACCAGGGAGTTAGCCACCCGTGAAGCATCCTTTAGGTGGTTTACCTATGTATTAATTAATTTAATTGTCTTAGCAGCCCTATGAGATAAGCACCATTATAGTCCTAATTTTTCAGAAGATAGATATTGTGCTTAGTGTCACGTAGCTAGTAAGTGGAGATCTTGGGATTTGAACCCAGGGAGGCCGAATCCAGCGCCTTTGTCCTTAGCCACGGTGCACCACCCTGCCTCTCACAGAAGCTGCTCAAATATTTGTCAAAGAGAGAATAGACAAATGACCCTTGGTTTTTCTCCATGCTTTCTTTAGTTGACTAGGTCCAAGATGTCTGGTGAGAAAAAGGTCCTAAACTTGTATGTGGGAGGATCCTCTCCCACCACCTAGACCCCTTGGGATTGGAGGATGTATGTATGTGTTGCTATGGTAATGCAGATGCATCAGCAGAGAAATGAAATATACTGGTGTCTGGCTGTAGATGGACCCTGGGTGAGCAGAGCTGGACCCAGCCCTGAAGAGGTTCAGAGGATGAACTCTTGCTCCAAAAGGACTGTGGGATCGAGGTCAAGATCACAGATCACAGATGAAGAAGGGAGGAGACCAGATGTCCTAGAAATTACACCAGCCTTTGGGTGAGAGTTTTCAGCTGTAATTTCAGCTGTTTTCAGGCAATTTCTATCAACAGCCAGAGGGGTGAACCCAGGGTCAACTGGCATAACTCCCCCTGAGAGACCAGATTATGGAACTGTTAGGATGTGGCTCAGCTGGGACTTGAGTGCAGAGGCATGGACAGCACCAGACAGGGTAGGCAGGGTGGGATGGGCTACAGAAGGTTGCTTAATATTGTTTTTAACTTGAGTTTGGTTGGGGAAGGTGTGGGGACAGTTGATTGCAGCACATACGCCATACTTATGTTGACAGTCAAAGGAAATCGCTAAAGAGCAGAGGTCATTTAGAGGAAAAAAAATGGAATCACTAGTGGTGGAAACTTCATGTATTAATGAAGGTACAAAGTCCCAACTCAGTCCTTTTTTTAAATTGAGGTATAGCTGATTTATAATATTGTGTTAGTTTTAGGTGTACAGCAAAGTGATTCAGTTATATATGTATATATATGTGTGTGTGTGTGTGTGTGTATTATATATATATATATTTCAGATTATTTTCCATTATAGGTTATTACAAGATATTGAATATAGTTCCCTGAGCTATACAGTAAATCCTTGTTGCTTACCTATTTTATGGATAGTAGTGTGTATCTGTTAATCCCATACCCCTAATTTATCCCGCCCCCTTTCCCTTTTGGTAGCCATAAGTTTGTTTTCTATGTCTGTGAGTCCGTTTCTGTTTTGTATATAGATTCATTTGTATTATTTTTTAGATTCCACATATAAGTGATATCGTATAATATTTGTCTCGCTCTGTCTGATTTACTTCACTAAGCAGAATATTCTCTAGGTTTATCCATGTTGCCGCACATGGCAGTACGTCATTCTTTTTTATGGCTGAGGAATATGACATATATATGACATCTTCTTAAGCCAGTTGTCTGTTGATGGGCACTTGGGCTGTTCCACTTCAGTTCTTGAGCACTGCTGTGATTTACTCAGAACAAAGTCTCCTAGGGAGCTCCCCAGACTCTCCTGTCTATTTTCTACTTCAGGCAAAAGAACCCCCCAAAACTCTCTTTCTCCTAAAACTCAATTCCTCGACCAGTGCCCTTGATCCCTTCCCTCCTCCCCCCCACCCAAGCTCCTCTCCAGCATTAGGGCGTTGCTTCCACTTTTCCTTCTTAGAATGTGGCTTCAGCCCTCAATGCTCACTGAAATTGCTCCCTTCCTCCTAGTTGCCAAATATAATAGGCTTTTCAAAATCTGTACCCTCTTTAACCATTTTGTAGCTTTAACACTGTATTAGTCAGGGATCTCCAGAGAAATAGAACCAATAGCCAGCAGGCTGGAGACCCAGGAAAGAGTTAACGTAGCAGCTCAAGTCCAAAGGCAGTCTGCTGGCAGAATTCCCCCTTTCGCGGGAAAAGTCAGACTGTTTCCCCTTGAGGTCTTCAGCTGGTTAGAGAAGGCCCACCACACAATGGAGGGTGTTCTGCTTGACTCAAGTCTACTAATTAAAATGATCTCATCTAAAATACATTTTCACATCTAGAAGCATCTAGAATAATGACTGACCAAATATCTGAGTACCATAGCCTAGCCAAGTTGACACATAAAATTAACCATCACAAACCATTGGCAGCTGCTTCTTGAATCCCTCTTTTCTCCTAGTTTATCTTATCCTACTTACTTCCGGTTCTCCTTCTGAATTTCTCTGACTTCTTTTTTTTTTTTTTACTAATGGCCTTTCCTATTTGGTATATTTTCTGAATGTAGACATTCCTTACCCTTATATTAGTTAGTTGGTGTGAGTAAAATTCACTGCTCTGGCAACAACGCACTATCTTAATAAGACAAAAGTTTATTTCTCACATGACAATCCAGTGTGGGTTGGACAGTTCTCTTCCACATGGTGACTCAGGGACCCAGGGACCTTCCATCTTGTATTACCACTGTCTTCAACAAATGGCTTTAAGGTGGCTGCAAAACAGAAGAGAGAATGGAGGATCATGCATAGGAGAATTTTAAGGGCTGGGCTGGTATACAGCACTTCCACCCCTATTCCATTGGTCAGAGCCCCTCATAGTGAGAGGGCTTGAAAATAGACTTCGCTGTGTGCCCTGGATAGAGGGAGAAGCACAGATCAGGGAGCATGGGCATTCTCCGTTCAGGCCACCTTCGTGGCCACCAAATACCTGTTTGCTCCTTTCTTTTTGCACATAAAACATGTTCATTCCTCCCCAGGAAGGCAACCCAAAGTATGCCCACCTCTGAGCTCTAAGTTCAGGCTCTCCCTGTGAGTCTGTCTTTTCCTTCAGGTCTGGGAGTGGCTCCAGTCCAAATGGAGGAGCCTGGATCAGATCATCACAATAAAAACACACATTCAGAAAAGGGAAGAATGAAAGACACACAGTAGCTACGGGTCTGTGGAAATTTCGAGATCCCACAGGTGCTCTAAAGGCCCCTAATCCTGGGGTGGGGGAAGTTCTTTGCTTAGGCCCTCATTCAAATCTCTTGTCCATTATGTTCTGGGCTATGCCCTCTAGAAGGTTCTTCCTGCTTACCTGGGACACATCCTGGGACACATCTGAAGTGGATGCTGTGGGTGGGAGGTGGTGAGCCTTCCCTGAGAGCTGCTTAATTCTCCCAATCCCTTACCTCCTGGAGCAAGGTTGTTTTTCATCTCCAACTGTCAAGATGACAGGTAAAGGTCTAGGCATGTGGGGTTTTGTTTGTTTCCCAAGAAAGTCCCTCAAAATTTTAGCAAAGTCTCATCTATTTGCTTCGAGTCAGTGTCGTGGGCCAGTGACCACACCCAGAGTTTTTTCCTAGAAATAGTTCTCAAA